TAGAAAATTAAGGGTAAAATGTGTTTTACCCTTATATTTAATTTCCACTGGCACTATGGGATATTTAATGTCCCCATGCACACACATCTAACTTCCACCCATTCTGCCTTCAGCAATGGCCCCTTGCAAACCAGGATTTGATGGACCAACCATGGTTTACATTTGTGAGTGTTAGAAGTGAATATAATAAAAAAATGATTTAGAAAAATTTAATTTTTAAAGTTCATAATGTGACCATAATGTGACTACTGTTACTGAGACTGATTCCAATGATGATTCAGGTTATCTACCCTGTTCCCGTTAAAATAATCCAGCATCTGACTTTAAAGGACTATGCACTTCCACTTACACACACTACTGTTGATATCTTAATTTGCATCTTCTAAGTAAGTTTACTGCTCCACAATTTTGCAAAGAATTATGTGCCATGCCTTTTTTTTATTCAGCTCCAATTTCAATCGAAATAATTTGGCCAAGGGAAAAGAGAGAAATCTTATTAGACTTGGTTTGCTTGCTACATAGGCCTGTGTGCCTGTCAAGGAAAATGGAATGCACTCACAGGTAAAATCTCCTTGACATTTGCTATTTTTTGACAATATTTTCTTCTTTAGTATTTACACTGAGACCAGAAATTAGACAGGGGTCATATCCACTGACTTCCAATCATGATAGAACTACGGTGGCTGGGAAGTGCAAATTGCAACAAATTAAAAAATCGCAACAAATTACAAAAACCCGCAACAAATTACAAAACCCCGCAACAAATTACAAAAACCCACAACAAATTAAAAATCCTTGACGGAAAGGGATTGTCTGAAATACAGGAAGTGACACAACAATTAGGCGTACTCCATATTTGTAGCTCAGAAAAGTGATTCGGGATGTCAACAAACGTCGAGAAACGCACTCCTCACAGCGCTTCCTCATTACCCTGACGGTGCTCGCTGCACTACATAGAGAACTGGAAAATGTTTTGCCCGTTTTGTGGCTTTTCACCCCTTTTTGTGCTTCCTGTGGACAGTCTCTGGAGCTTTTGCGGGACACAGACCAGGCTGAAGGATCAGAGTCCCCAGGGACATCAAAACAAACAGACAATTCTGAACAAAGTAATTTTGATATATTACTCACTTTTTGTTCTCTTCAGACAGTCTATGCTATTTCAGTTAAATAGCACATTTATTTACCATTTTGGCTCCGGTTTCTTTTTATGTTTGCTTATACTTTATTCTCGTCTACGTTTAGTAATGGAGAGTGCTTATAACCCTGTTTTCAAATTCAAATTCAAATTCAAATTTTATTTGTCACGTACACAGTCATACACAGTACGATATGTAGTGAAATGAAAACTGCTCGTGACCTAAAGAAAACAAAAAAGGAAAAGGCTATGAATAAGATAGGAAATAAATATGAAAAATTAAAAAGGGTAAATTTAACTAGGAAGGAATAAAATATAAATTAAGGTTAAAAATGAAATAACTGTACAACACAAATTAGAATGAAGGGTAAATTTAACTGGGAAGAATAAGATAAAATATATAAATTAAAGTTGAAAATAAAATAACTGTACAACAAAATACACAATATAGAACTATATAAGAATGTATGAAGAAATCTAAATATAAATAAATATATACACAATAACAGCAGCTGTACAAGTATTAACCGGAAATGAAGAATATAGTGACCAGTGTTGTGCAAAAACAAAGTCCAGAAAGTCCAGTGTTGTTAAACGTTTTTCATTCAACCAAAACAAACATGTCCGTCATACAAGCAGTTCATGAAGTACAAAAAATCAAAATCCAAAGAGCGTCAGGCCTTCAGCTGTGGAGCAAAATTAAAACTCAAGCAACAGAGTAAACATGTCAAGGTAAGCCATCACAGGTAAATTTATAAACGAGGATTTAGCAATTATTCTTAAAGTTATCTTGCTTGTATTATTTGTTTCTAGATCAATATAGGAATAATGGTGTCACAACAAACGGACTTAAAACCGCTAAGAGGGAAAACACTGCCCTTATTTATTAGCCCCGAAATTACAGCCCCTGACCTCCTGAAGCAGGCTGTAGAAAAAATGATAGCATTCAACAAGGACTTGGTGGAGGGACCATATGTCCTTTTGTATCCCGACTGCACAGAGGTGATAAATTTGCCTGGGACAGAAGGGCCATTCTGACTGGCAGACTACAAAGAGGAAATAGGAAAGAACTACAACAGGATTTCTCTTTTCATTTGCCCAGAGAGCCACTTCAAACAAGGTTTGTTAATTGTATATTTTGATGTATTTACATATACAACAACTAATAATGTGTTTATTTTCTCAGCTCTGATTGCAGAGGATGGTACCTCAGACTCAGACCCTTTGATTGTGATTACATCAAGAAGCACAGCTGAGTTCAACCAGGCAGACACATTGGTGTGTACTTTTTCCCCCCTCCACCATGCCAGAGGCCTGTGAGTGGCCCAGGCTGAGTGCTCTATTTTTTTCTCTATAATGATCATAATTCTGTAACATCCATGGGTGGATTATTTTCATTGTGTGATTGTATGTTCTTTAAAAAAATTATTATTATTATTTTGATGAACTATCTAAATGCAATACGAAGTTGTTGAAAGCTTTGAAAAGTGCATATTTTTCATCTTTTTTT